ACTATTTATAAAATATTATTATTATTATTAGTTTTTGTTCTTACAAAAGTTTTTAGTCCGCTTATTTAAAATATTTGTGAAAAAAATTAAGAAACAATAACTCAAAGCTCATAAAAAAGTTTTTATTGAGACTTTAAATATACTTTTCAAATATATACAACTTTGCTTCGGTTTTGGATATCAATTAAATTTTCAGCATATTTTTAGCATATTTATGAAAGTATCAGAAGCTCAAATCTGTAACTTAGTTTCCCTGATTCTTCTTCTCTTCCCTGATATCAGTATGATTTACTTGTAGATTCGATTTCCAAGCAATTAATCAGCCTTCATACTAAACACGAAATTATAGGAATTCATTTGCATATTAATGAGGCAAATAAGTCACAGTAAAACAGAAATAATTAACATATTAATTTATTCAAAGTCTAAATTTACTGCCCAGCTTATCCAGTTGGTGTAAGATACTCAGATCCTTGTTTCTATCTGGCTTAGAAATTATATTTATATCTTGAATTTCATTTCACATTATATATTTTATATATATTATTTATGTTTTCTATAAACTGAATTAGAGCTCAACCACTGTGCACTTTCAAACATTTGTCTGGGGGCACTTCTGGCGGTCTGTTCAAGCAAAATGCCGAACTTGTTTTAGCCCAAAAACAAAAAAACAAAAAAGAACAGCTAAAAGAAAAAGCATAAAAAACGAATGGCCAGAACAATTGTTAACGCGTTTGCTAAGTCGGCGCGTTGTCCATTCACAATGAACGTCTGGAGCGGAGAGCGAGGTCGAGACTTGAGCTGGGACTGAGACAGGGACTGGGCTGGGACTGGGACTGGGACTGGGCCAGAATCTGTTCTGCTCTGGTCACATGGGCTGTGGCTGCTGGCGGTGCGCAAATGTCTTGTTCCATAGAATTTGAAACGGAAACATTGAACACTTTGTTTTGGTTCTTGTTTCACATTTTCCTTTTTTTGTTGTCGTTGTTGTTGCTGCTGTTGTTGTTCTGTTTGCTTGAGCTTTGCGTTTGTAAGCGCGCGCATGCGTAGCACTCGCATTTGGCCAGTCACGCAACGCAACGCGAATTGGCTTGGCTTGGCTTCGCTTGCCTTGGCTTGCCCTGACTTGCCTTGGCGCTTATCCAGTGCACGTTAGCCAGCGGACTTTAGTCAAAAATTAACAAGGCTCAAAACACAGTTTCCACTGCATGCAAATTCGTTGTCAAAATAAGAAAAAGAAGAAGCAGACGCAGACGCAGACGCAGTGGCAGTGGCAGAAGAGAACGGAGCCCGTAACCAAATCGCTGCCAGCCAAGGGGCAACAGCTCCTCCATTCCGTTCGCCAAGTCCAGTTAAGCGATAAATGAGTTACTGACGTCTGTGCATGTGCATGTCCAGACGCGATCCGATGGCCAGCAACGCAACAATAACGCTTCAGGGCAGCAGGCAGGCAGGCAGGCAGGTGCAGCCAGGTGCAGACCAGGTACCTCCTCTCTCTCTCGCTCTCTCGCTCTCTGCTTCGGCCTGTGGGCGCTCTGCAGGTTGCATTGCAGCATTTCAACAGCCTTCAATATCATTTCCAGACATTCTCATATGTAAATTTATGCATTCTACCCAACGTCTGGCGGGGGTGGACATTGGAGCGGAGGGCGGGGGGCGGACCCATGCCAGCGGCTGCAAAAGATGAAATATGCGTTGGGCTGCATAAATCTACTAATTGATCAGCGGCCAACATGATTTTTATCTTTTGAGAACTTAATTATTTTCTGTTCGCCAATGTTCTCAAAGTGCGACTGTCGACTTCCAATTGGAATCGATACGTGCTCCAACCGACTGACAGGAACAACGCGATCCAGACCCGAAGCCCGAAGCCCGAGGCCCCGATGTGAAGGAATGCGAAGGTTGTCCGACTGTCTACCCAGAGCTAAAGATACTTTGGCTACAGTTAAGGCAAAGGCAAATGCCTGAAGGTACACATATGATATATCTATATCCATACAGAGGTTTCTGCTGATTGATTGATAACGACGACTGTGGAATGAATGAGCGAAGATCCAAGCAATTTACTAGCTTAGAAATGGATAGGAATAGTTCATCTAATATGCACACAGGGAATTCTTGGCTACTTAATTTAGAGTAAATGATCTAACTATTGATTGATATTTAATATAAATTTACCAAACAACATGTTAAAATAGAAAATGTTAATAAAATTAGTGGAACAGCAAAATTATAGAAATTTTATAAAAACAAATTGACTATATATTTTTGAATGGTTTGAATATTTTAGGTAAAGTGGTCTATTAAGAATGGAATAGTTGATTGTTTAGAAATAAATTAGTAGATATTGTTAAATAAAAATATATTTTATCACAAATAAATGTTTTGATGAAAAAAAAAAAAGGTTTGCAAAAAAAAGAAGAAAGTTGAAATGACTGAACTAATTAATTTTTATACCCTAAGCACACTGAAAATGAGAATTATAAATGAATATACAGCTACGAAAAATAAAATAGCACACTTGTATGTAAAGGCAGAAGGAGTTGTGGCACACCACATAGAGTCGATTTATGCCATATTTATTTAGGAATCCATACAATTCTTTTTCATATTTTCTTTCTAATTATCATGAATATAAAATTCTTGTTCATTATTATATTTTATTTAAATTTTATATTTAATAATAATAATACATTTTATTTTCCATCAAAATATTTCTCTCAGTGTTGCGAAAAAGTTGTGCCCGATTGGCTCAGCAAATGGCAAAAAGTAATTAACTACAAAAGGGTCAAACGTGCCAATAGCCAATCAAAGGCATAGCTGACTCACACACACACATACCTAGATCGAGGCGCGTGCGTGCGCGTGTGTGAGTGAGTGAGCGTGCCTAAGTGTGAGCTTTGCCGATTGCCTTTGATGATCGCAATGTTGTATGTGGCGCCGATTTCGGAAGCAGCAGCAAATTTATGTTAATGTAATTGAACTATAAATAGCCGCAATTTCAATTATGTATTCCATGCAGGAGTGATCACTTTTGTTTTGCGAAAATATCCGCAAGTTTGGCATTGACATCAAATATTTGAGAAAAACAAATGCAAATTCAAAAATTCAAAAAATTTGAATCCAAATTGATATTGGAATTCTTTTTGGAATTCCTTGTGCCGGCAACTTGTTTCGTGCCTTCCAATGCAAAGAAGAGAGGGAGAGAGAGAGAAAGAGCACTCATCTTTCCAGCCAGAGCAGCATGGCACTGGCACAAAATTGGCGGGAAGCTATGCAGCTGTTGCGTGGGAGCGAGATAGCAGGCATGCGAAGAGCGCATGGAACGGTAAAACAGGATAAGAGCATGGCTGTGCACTCTCTTTGCTACAGCCGAAATACTCTTCGGCCTGCGCAGCTGTTGTGAGTGCGCGCGCTCTCTCGCTCATTCTTTCCATCTCTTGCGCTCTTTGGGGTGCATCTCACAAATGCCATGTGTTTCGCTTTAGCCATGGCTGCTGAAAATATCTTCGAGCTGCCTTC